TATTTAAATTTTTTAATTTCTTATTCGAGAAATAATAGTAGTTGAGTTTCATTGTTTGAGGAAATTAATGTGGCTCGTCTTTAGTCAAAAAGTCGGTAGGGGACATAGGTCAAAGATACTATATGTCAATTAAATGCACCATTATCATTTGATAAGATGTCTATAAAAAGTTGAATAATTAGTGGACCATTAGTACTCTTGAGAAAGTTCTTAAGCTACCTTTACTTTGTCAATTTCCTTGCTAAGTGGATTTTTGTTTTTTGTTTTTAAAAAAAAAAAAATGTGAGTGTGAAACATGCAATCTGTATATTAAACCAAATTTGCTGAAAATGATTTGTTTTTTTTTAAAACTTAGTATACTCGTCAGGCTAGAATAAGAAATGAGGAATTAAATAAGACAAGATTCTGATAGGCTATTAGCTCATATACAATAGATGACAATGGATTGTAATAGTTGATTATAACTAATTAATTGTATTAACTATATTTAAATAATTATTTGATAAATAGCTATTTTTAAAATATATTATATTGACATATTGTTCTACTCATCTCTTCTCATATAATATATTATATTGACATACTGTTCTACTCATCTCTTCTCAAAATATATTATATTGACATATTAAGCTTTTAAAAATTAGAATTTTGGGAAAGCTAATTATATGATGTTTGCAAGAAGCACACCTAGAATCAACAAAACAATATAGGATAATAGGAACCAAATATATGTAGTTGAGATTATCATCTACATAATATAAAATAGTGCAATTTTACTTCTTATTATATTACTACTCAAAATTTTAATATTCTATACTTTTATATGTGTAGTTTACTTTTAATATTCTATACTTTTTTATCTTATACCATCATTGTTCTGAGATGTTCTGGATGTCATCATTTTTTGGGGTTACTAAGTTGATGTTCTGGATGCCATTATTATTTTGAGATAAAAACATTGAATGTTGGTTGTAACAGTTATGTCTACCTAGCTATATTATTGTTCAAATTTAAAATTTACATATATATCTATTTCAATATATATATATATGTATATTACACACACAAAAATAATTATTTTTTATATATTGAAATTAATGACATCTATTATTTTTATTTTAATGTAGATATTGAACTATTTTAAATATTTAATAACTGGATCCTCAATCTAACATTGGACTTCTACGTGAAACAATTGCTTAATGTATAGAGACTAATGAGAATTGTGATGATGAACTAGATATCCAATATAACTTACTATACTCTTTTGCATCACAATTGAAAGAATCACATTCGTTTATATACTTAGAAGGTCAAATCTTCATCAATTGTATATAGATTTAGAAATGTCTCCTTTATTCGATTATGGTTCTCGATTGTTCAATACGAATGTTCCAACAAGTAATATTAGAACATTAGTACATATCGAACTCTTAAATCTTCAACTAACTTACTTTGTTCAATTTTATATAACACCAAATCAACGCCAAATTAAATAAAAAGAAAAAAAGAAAAAAAATATCTACCCTACATTGAGAAGGATGATGAGAAAGAAAAACAAGAACCAATTGAGTGCTTGGGAAAAGAAAGATAAGCCGACAGCAAGAATCATTTCGAAAAGCGTGCGTGGGGGCTGTACGATTACTTTCCCCTTCCCCCACCCTGCGGTATCATGCAGTTCCTATATCCGGACCCCTCTCTCTTATCTATTTTCCCCCCAAAACTTTCTCTCTTATATTTTTTGATCCCAATTATATTTTTTTTAACTACATTACACTCTACGAACAATTGGTCATCGTGTTTGCTACCCAATTAAGTTCAGATATTTTTAACCCTGAATATCGAAGGATCTATTATAAACTGCTTCTACAAAATATATTTTGTAAAAATAGTCTTTTTCAACGTACTGTATAAATGTATTAAGTTATAATTTCACACTGTCCTTTAATAAGTTAATTTTTTCACTTCAGAAAGTGCGAAAAATTATACAATTGATATGCGACAATTCTAGAGTGAAAAAATTAAATTATTAAAAAATAGTGTGAAAATTTTAATATATAAAAAGATTTCTTTTTCNGGATGCATGATGTGAAGCACCGAAATTAAAAGTACAATAAGATAATCATATAATATAATATATAATATAAGAGAAGAAAACAAAACCAAGTATTAGAGTCACTAAAAAAAAATTGTCATATTTCAACAGAATATTCTATAATAATATATTCTAATAGAAATTTCAACAAATATTCTAATGACAATATAACTTTCATTGAATCATTCCAACAAAAATATTCTATTGAAATTTTAGATTAAATTTCATTATTACAACGGCTATTTTACTATTAGAATATACGATTTTTGTTAGAATATTTGTTTTCACTCATTTTTTTTTTTGGAATATTTGTTTTCTTAGAATATTTATTTTCACTCATATTTCAACTGTTGAAAACCGTACCATTAGTATCATCAAAATTCAAAGGAAATTCCAATGAAAAAATTACAACGGAATATTTTTGTTGGAATTCATTGAAAAATTCCTATGGAATAATAGCATTGAGATATCCACTGAAATTGTCATTGGAATTTCATTGAAATATATTTCTGTTGAAATTTTTCGTTGGAATTTCATCATTTTCTTATAATGACTTGTGCGATTGAAAACAAAACAATTTTGATTTTGATTAGCCGGATATATATTTTTATTTACCGAACTATAGTTGCATATTATTTTTTGATTGAAAATCCAAATCAACCCTCATTATCAATATATATAATTAAATATTAACAATCGATCATTATCATATAATTTTCAACAAAATTTATTATTTACCCACTCACAAATTACATAAAATTCAATCATTATATTTTCTCTCATATATGAAAGAGGCGATGCTGCCCCTAGAGGCTCTTGATTTATACACACACACACCCACATGAGTGTGTGTGAAATCAAGAGCCCTAGGGACATGATTGCACTGCCCCTAGGGGCAGCACCGAATTTACCCTCATATACAAACACAGATTCAAAATCCAATTCAAATTTCAATTCAGTCAACTTTTTTCAAAGTTAAGTTATTTTGTTTCAGTAAATCGAATTCAATCCAAAAAATTTACTTCCAATCGCATTATTCTACACTAATACTCCTTCTACTTCCCGGATTTAATTAGTTAATATATTCCTTCATTTTTACTTATGTATTTAAATTAGCCAGTTAATATTTGAGAGGGCTTTAACAAGCACCCAACATAAATCCAATCATTGATGGTAGATCATGCTGCTTAATGCAAATAACCTGCAAATCAACATATCTAAATAAATAACATGTCCCTTTTTTTTTCGCTCTTGTTGTAATTTTTAAAGTTATTTTTCAATTGGGTTGATTTGAGAGGCTATGCTATATTATATTGTAATCAAAACCTAGTCAAACAAGTTTCATGAGCATGGATCAAAGTTTCAAACAGTACGGAAATAGGTTTTTCTAGGTTAATGTGGAAAGGTAGACTTTTAAGCAAATGCCAGCTTTTGTAATTGTGGTATATGTAAGAAAATGGGACGAAAAAGAGATAATAGGGCAAACGTACACGTGCAATTCTGACAAAAATGTCCGAAAAAAGTTAGGTTCATATTTACTTATCGTGGGGTCTCATCCATTTGAAAA